CCTGTCTGTCTGCACCTGTCTGCCCTCCTGTCTGCTCCTGTCTGCTCCTGTCTGCTCCTGTCTGCACCTGTCTGCTCCTGTCTGTCTCTCTCTTTGTATTCCTCTGTGTGTGTTGTATATTTCTGTGTATTTTTGTGTATCTCAGTGTGTGGTGGTGTTGTTGTTGTTGTATGTGTGTGTTGTGTGTGTGTTGTGTTGTTGTGTTTCAGAACAGGGATGTGGGCTCAGTCTGTGTGTTGTTGTGTTGTTGTGGTTGTGTTGTTGTTGTGTGTGTGTAATAGTGTGTGTGTTGTTGTGTTGTGTTTCAGAACGGGACGTGGGCTCTGTGCTGGTGTGGTGTGGCTCAGTGTGTTGTGTGTGTGTGTGTGTGTGTGTGTGTGTTGTGTGTGTGTGTGTGTGTGTGTGTGTGTGTGTGTGTGTGTGTGTGTGTAATAGTGTGTGTGTGTGTGTGTGTGTGTGTGTGTGTGTGTGTGTGTGTGTGTGTGTGTGTGTGTGTGTTGTGTGTGTGTGTGTGTGTGTGTGTGTATAGTGTGTGTGTGTGTGTGTGTGTGTGTGTGTGTGTAATAGTGTGTGTGTGTGTGTGTGTGTGTGTGTGTGTGTGTGTGTGTGTGTGTGTGTGTGTGTGTGTGTGTGTGTGTGTGTGTGTGTGTTGTGTGTGTGTAATAGTGTGTGGTGTTGTGTGTGTGTAATAGTGTGTGTGTGTGTGTGTGTGTGTTGTGTGTGTTGTGTGTGTGTAATAGTGTGTGTGTGTGTTGTTGTGTTAACGGGGTGTGGCTGTTGTGTGTGGTGTGGTAATAGTGTGTGTGTGTGTGTGTGTAATGTGTGTGTGTGTGTGTGTGTAATATGTGTGTGTGTGTGTGTGTGTGTGTGTGTGTGTGTGTGTGTGTGTGTAATAGTGTGTGTGTGTGTGTTGTTGTGTGTGTGTGTAATAGTGTGTGTGTGTGTGTGTGTGTGTGTGTGTGTGTGTGTGTGTGTAGTGTGTGTGTGTGTGTGTGTGTGTGTGTTGTGTGTGTGTGTGTGTGTGTGTGTTGTGTGTGTGTGTGTGTGTGTGTGTTGTGTGTGTGTAATAGTGTGTGTGTTGTGTTGTTGTGTGTGTGTGTGTGTGTGTGTGTGTGTGTGTGTTGTGTTTCAGAACGGTGTGACTCGTGTGTGTGTGTGTGTGTGTGTGTGTTGTGTTGTGTGTGTGTAATAGTGTGTGTGTGTGTTGTTGTGTTGTGTGTGTGTAATAGTGTGTGTGTGTGTGTGTGTTGTGTTGTTGTGTTTCAGAACGGGGACGTGGGCTCGGTGCTGGTGGGCGTGGCTCAGGTGGCGTTCACGGCGGTGGCGGCGTTGGTGATGGATCGCGCCGGGAGGAGGCTCCTGCTCATCGTCTCAGGTCGGAAAAACTGCAACAGGAAAAAAATCCTTCAGTGTAAAATCCACAGACGCACGAAGAGACGTTCAGCTGCAGTCAGATGAAGCTCACTGAGGCCAGCGCTCACAGGGCTCGACTTGAGGAACAGGATTTTTGGTTCAAATTTAGTTGAAATGTTGAAACCAAAGCCCAGGACCTTGTAGAGCAGCAACATCTCAGAACAAAACGCCGACGCCACAGCAGCAGGGACAGAAAGACGAGCCACAATATTCAGGGGGAGTCGGAGGAGCCGCCTGGAGCACTTCCTGTTTGGAACACGATGGCAAAGCTTTAGCTGCGTCCATTTATCTGAACAGTCTGTGGTAGAATCTTTAGACCAGGAGAGTCAAACTCATTTTGTTCCGGGGGTCGAATCCAACCGACTTTGATCCAAAGTGTCCGGATCAGAAAACTCATGTCATATAAACCCCAAAAATAACAATAAGTTCAAATATTTGTGCAGAGAAACACAAATCTATTACAGAAATCTTTTTTAATTGATGAACTCTTTCTTTTACAAAATATTATAATTTAATGAACAACCTGAAACTTTAAGAAAAATACAAGTTAACACAAAGTTTGAACATGAACTTGTCTGTAAACAGGAATAAGTCCATTTTTGTTGTAAAATCCTGCACTCGGCTCCACTTTTCTCATGTTGGACATTTTTCTGATGAGGGTGTCACGGTCAACAGTCAAAACGATCGTCCTTCAAGAGCGTTTGGAAAGAGACAAGTCTTCATTTGTGCTGCTCTGGTGGGAGGGGCCACGTACAGAGACGCTGGAGACGCTGCTGTGAGAAGCACCGCAGAAAAATAAACAAGATTTTAATAGAAAATATCATTCAAATATTTGAGTAGAAAATCAGCCGAGGGCCAGATTAAAGGTCTTGGAGGGCCAGATCTGGCCCCTGGGCCACATGTTTGACACCTGTGGGTTAGAAGAACTGTCCTTTTGACTCTGGAAATTCAAAATGGAGGCTTATTGTTCTTTGAAGAGGGTCTATCAGGCTAAACAAACGTTTTGGAGCTTTCTCCCCTGTCATCCCCTCATCAAAAACAGGTTTGAGGATTTTGAGTCATTCCTGCATGTTTGAATAATCTAGAGATCTCTCTAGATTAGACCAGAGAAGTAAATACCCCACAGGAGTAAATACCCCCATCTTTACCGTGTGTTATTTTAAACATTCCCTGTTGGTCTTGTTCAGACTTGTGCCCTCTGCCCTCTGCCCTGTCCCCTCGGTCTTTAAATCATGTCTGTGCCCGTGTGTGTCGCCCCCTGCAGGAGTGTCCATGGCGTTGAGCACGGCGGCGTTTGGCGTTTACTTCTACCTCCTGAACCAACCTGAGCCTCAGACGCACATGGCCTGGCTCGCCCTGCTCAGTATGGGAGTCTTCATCATAGGTAAGACCAGGTCTGAACCGGGACCGAACCGGGTCTGAACCAGGTCTAACCCTGGTCTCTGGTCCCTCAGGCTTCGCTCTGGGCTGGGGGCCCATCCCGTGGCTGGTCATGTCCGAGATCCTCCCGGTCCGAGTCCGAGGCTTCGCTGGAGCCGTTTGTGTCCTCACCAACTGGGGCATGGCCTTCGTCGTCACCAAGAGCTTCCAGGACATGATGGTCAGGACTGGACCAGGTCTAAACCAGGACTGGACCAGGACTAAACCAGGACTAAACCAGGACTGGACTAGACCAGGACTGGACCAGGACTAAACCAAGGACCAGGACTAGACCAGGACTGGACCAGGACTGGACTAGACCAGGACTGGACCAGGACTAAACCAGGACCAGGACTGGACCAGGACTGGACCAGGACTGGACCAGGACTGGACCAGGACTAAACCAGGACTGGACCAGGACTGGACCAGGACTGGACCAGGACTGGACTAGACCAGGACTGGACCAGGACTAAACCAGGACTAGACCAGGACTAGACCAGGACTAAACCAGGACTTGACCAGGACTGGACCAGGACTAGACCAGGATTAAACCAGGACTAGACCAGGATCAGGACTGGTGATCTTGTCTCTAGTCTCAAACGCGCCTCTTTAGACGCTCTCCTCTTATTGGTTCACCTCGGTCGGGCTCTGAGTGAGTGACAGCTGAATTCAACCAATCACAGAGGAGTGTGGATCCTCAGAAGAAGCAGAGAACTTCAGTCTGAAGCTGCGTTCAGACGCGACGTCAAAAAAACACACTGGATGCCTCGAGTTGGAGCGGTCGGTGGCGGCGGCGGCGGTCGGTGGGGGCGGTCGATGGCGGTCGGCAGCAGGGGTGGTGGCAGTCGGTGGTGGCGGTTGGTGGGGGTGGTGGCGGTCGGCGGTAGAGGTGGGGGTGGTGACAGTCGGTAGTGGCGGTCGGTGGTGGCAGCGGGGATGGTGGCGGTCGATGACGGGGGTCGGCGGCGGTGGTGGCGGCGGGTGGTGTGTGGTGGTCGGTGGCGGGTGGTGGTTGGTGGCGTGGTGGTGGTGGCGGCGGTCGGTGGTGGCGGTGGTGGGGTGGTGGCGGGTGGTGGCGGGGTGGGGGTGGTGGCGGTGGCGGTGGTGGTGGCGGCGGTGGCGGGTGGCGGGGGTGGTGGTGGTGGCGGCGGTTGGTGGCGGTGGCGGCGGTGGCGGTGGCGGTGGCGGTGGTGGCGGGTGGCGGTGGCGTGTGGCGGCGGTCGGTGGCGGGGATGGTGGCGGTTGCAGCGTGTTTATGTTTCTCCTTCTCAAATGACACGGTGTAGATTTGTTGTTTTGGTGTTTGTGGCTCTTGGGTCTTTCTCTTTCTTTCTTCTGTGGTCGTCCCTCGTTGGTCGACGCGGCCTTTTTCAACTTGTGACGCCGACGCCCTTAACGCTCGTCCACTCAGACTCTGCGTGTAACTCAACGCTCTGACTCTGGTCTGGACGCAGCTTCACGTTTGTGTCCGTGACGAGTGAAGCTCCTCGTCCGGTTTATTGAAGATTCTGTTCAAACTGGAGCCACGGTTCTGCGTGTGATTCAGTTTTTGTGTCATGTGGAGCTGCTCTTCTGAGTCAAACTCTTAAAACCAGAGTCAGCAGCTTCGACCGCACTTCCTCAAACTTCTGCGAGTTCAGCAAAACCGAGTGTCCAGATGATCGTTCACCTTTGTCCTCGTGGAGCCGGTGTCAGGAGACATCGTCTGTAAAAATGATCATAAAGCTGCAAAAGGAGCTGAGAGAAAAACTCCATTCACCTCTGACCCTTTATTATGATCTTTATATATTTTTATAATTTAAACGTGTTTGTGTTTCCTCCTCAGAACGTCCTGACCTCGGCGGGGACCTTCTGGCTCTTCTCCTTCATGTGCATTTTGAACCTGCTCTTCACCACCTTCTTCCTCCCGGAGACAAAAGGAAAAACTCTGGAGCAGATAGAAGATCTGTTCAGAGGCTCCTCGTCTCGAGCCTGAACCTCGAACATTGAACACAAACACATGAAACATCGGCCGATTTATCGAGCTGATACATCAAGTTGATATTTGCACTTTTGTGACTCGTGTGTTTACAGCAGAACTGAGCCGAGGAGAAGTTCAGTCCATTTAAACGATTTAATCCAAATAACCCAGTCGGCTTTTAGTTTCTTATTGGACAAAAAGTCGAGTTTGAAATCATCGTGCGGGTTTATAAATGTCCGTTCTGTCGGTGTTTTTCTCCGTGGACATGATCTCATTAAATATTCTTCGTACGATCTGTGGAAACGTCTTAGTCGTCCAGAAGGTTCCACAGAAAAACAAATGTCTCAGATCTGAAGAAGAGTCTGGAGTCCAAACGTTTGTCCAGAGACACGAGGACAGTTTCTTTTGTTTTGTGCCAAAAAAAAAAAAAGTCTTTTTTTATAACTGTTTAGACCAAATGACGTGATATTTTTCTACAGGAAATGTGAGTAAACAAACTAAAAGAGTTACTGAAAAACTTAAACCTTGATTTAAACTCTGACTTTACTGTTTTAAATCACATTCATATTCACATACAAAGGGCGCCCCCCTCTGGCCACACGTGTAACTGCTCAAAGACAAAATTGTACTGATTTACATTTTTATTGAAGATTTTAAATGATTTTCAATATTTCTTTCTCACTGACACTTTTTTGGGGTTTTGTATTTTTAATTATTGTATTTTGATGATGAACACTCGTCTGTTTACTGTCGAATGAAGGAGAATCTGAATAAGCTTTTTTTTTTCTGGGTCGTTTTGGTGCTTTTTGTTGAAATTATTTTTGTTGAAATTTTGTGACATGTTTGCAATAAAATGAATCTGAATAAAATGCAGGAGTTCTAAATATATATTTTAATTTTATTTTAAATAATAAAACTCACATCATAATTTTGGATCACGTTGAATTCACTGTTTAGAAACATTTTGAATCCACTTTGTGTTTGCATTTACTGTTTTGGTCTAATTGTAGCGTCTCACACACAAACACTGAATATCACATTTTTTTCTTAGATTTTCTCAAGCTTGAAGCTAAAATAATAAAAGTTAGTGGATTATAGATCCATGGGTTTAAAAAAATGAAAAATTTGTGCCATTTCCAGAGAGATTAAACAAACAAAATGATCTTTAGAAACACAAACTCTTCAAAATAAAATTCATAGTGACAGTCTGTGGGGGCTTTTATTGTGAAGGTGTGTGTGTGTCATTTGTCACAGTGATACACACAGATAATACTCCCTACAACTGTACAACAACTCACCCTTATGCGACATATAATACTCCCTACAACCCCCTCTCTTTGTAACATATAATACTCCCTACAACTGCACAACAACTCATCCTTATGTAACAGATAATACTCCCTACAACAACTCACTTATGTAGCAGATAATACTCCCTACAGCTGTACCCTACATCCATGGTTTCGTTCAAAATAATGAAAAATCAGTGTCGTTGCCATAGAGATTAAACAAACAAAATGATCTTTAGAAACAAAAACTCTTCAAAATAAAGTTGGTAGTGTGCGGGGGCTTTTATTGTGAAGGTCCGTGTTACGTGAGGAGACCTTTATTGTGACGGGGTTTGTTTTGAATCTCGTTTCCTGTCGGCGCATGCGCACTGGTCCCGGTGCGCTCCGCTCCACGAACCCGAGAAAAGCGCGATGGATCCCCGCCGCGGCGCCGCACCGGCCCGGGCGCTCTGAGCACGGAGAGCCGGGGCTGTGGACGAGCTGAGCGGCCGCGCCTGGAGCCGCGACCCCCGGACGAGCCGCGACCCCCGGACGAGCCGCTCCGGAGCCGCGCGGCGACATGAAGCTGCTCAAGCCGAGTTGGGTGAGCCACAACGGTAAGAGCCGCGCTCCCGCCCCGCTCCCGCCCGGCTCCCGCAAACTCCCGCTTTTGTTGTCCGGGAGAGACGCGCGGCTCCGGGGGACACTGATCTGACGTGTCCCCGCTCCGCTGCGCCGTCTCCGAACTCCCGCAAACTTTAAAAACCCGCACATTTTGTGCAGTTGTGCGTCATTTGGTGCGTCTGGAGCCAAACGTCCTCCGCTCGTCCAACTCCTGCAGCGGTTAGCCGCTCGCGTTAGCATCACTGTCCCCGCGCTGCTCGCTCCGCTTCTCCCGCACAAACCGCCGCATTCTCACTAATGCGCAGCTCCTGCTTTACATCCGCAAAGATCCGTGCAAATAGGAGCAGAAATCTGCACGTTTTGAGGCTTAAAGTGTCTCCCAAAGTGTCTCCAAGATGGCAGATGAGGAAAGTTAACCGTTGCAGTGACTTTGATGAACTTCCAGACGGTTTCTTCCTGTTTGTCGGAGTTTATTTCGGTTTAAACAGAAATCCACCGGTGTAAAAATGCTTCACGAGCGTCCGCAAAGTGTCTCTGACGCAGGATTTGACGCTAATTCTGCACATTTGAATTTGATCACAAAGGAAATACTCCTGAAGACACTTGACACTGAGACGAGGGACACAGGCTCAGTCCTGAGTCTGTGTCTCTGTCCCGCAGATTTAAACAAAACCACTGATCTGTCCCAGTTTATACAAGAAATGTCCCAGTGTCTCTGTTTTGGACCAGTCTGATCCTGCAACAGTAAATAAACACAAACTGATATTTGTTTTGGTAAAATACAGAAAATCTGCTTAAAAACAACAAAACACAAAGAAAACGTGACGATACTGACTCATGTTCGTCATGAATTGTCTCTGCAGAACAGTTTTACTTTGTTTCACAATTTTATTATCACCAAACACCAAAAAAACAGGATGTTCCAGTTTTTTATTTTTAAATTTTGTTCTCACAAACTGAGATCAACTCCAGACTTTTGCACAAGATTCAACCGTTTCATGTCATAATTCTCCTTAAATGTGTGAAATATGACTCACAGGTGAAGTCAGTTTGGTGTCTTGCCCAAGGACACAACAAGAGGAAGGTTTAGTTCGAGCAGGGATCAAACCTCTGACCTGTTCACATTTCTCCAGGCTGACGGGAAATCAGCAGGAAAATCACAGAGGCAAAGGGAAAGTCAACGTGTGCGGCTGTTGTGTTGTTGTTGTTGTTGTTGTTGTTGTGCGTTCAGCTCTTCTGGTGGTTCTGTTGGATCTTCTGCTGGACGTGAAGATCCTGTAGATCCTGAAGATCCTGAAGATCACAGTAAATATTTGTCGATCTGCTCCATGAAGCGACTTCAGGTCCTGGAGAATCCTGGAATCAGCCTGACAATTATTTTTTTGTTACATGATGCATTTTTTAAGCAATTCTCTAAAAAAACAAAACAAAAACAAAAAAAACACTTTGTTTTTGATAATTAAGGCAAAATTTTCAAATTGAAAATAAATGTAGACTTGGTTTTGAGATAAATAAATAAAATAATGGAAAAAAAAGAAAGAAATAATAAGGCAGAAAAACATAAATGTGTCCAAAATAAACTCTTCTACAATCTCTAGATTTAAACAATAAAATAAATTTACTTATTTAAATAAAAAATATCCCAAAATAAACACTGTTAAGTTTCATCGTTTCAACTGGATTATAGGCGAGTTTCATTGTTGACAAAAGCGTGCGTTTCATGTTGGGAATTATTTTGGTCGGCAGCAATAAACACTAATTGAACATGACGGACGGAGCGAGAAAACACGTAAAGGGTATTGATCCTGGTTATTTCTCCACTCTAACGGCAGACGACCCAAGACCATTTGACCAGAGATGGACGACAAATCACCCTTTTCAACCCCGACAGAGTCTGGACCAAACCAAACTTCTGGTCAGAATCTCCAACTCCCTGGACAAATATTCACTTGGGCGACATCCACAATGACTTGGTGGAAACTCCTGGGCCATTCACAGCAGAAAAGATGAAAACCTCCAAGAGTCTGGATGTGTTGTTGAACTTGTTGAGTCCACGGTTTGTTAGGATCTTCTACGTTTGCTCTGCGGATGTTTGAAAGTCGTTTAATTCACCGTTAGTGGTTCTTTTCACTCGGAATATGAAAAAGACATTTTCCTTCTTCCGTGTTTCTATTTGTGCGTCTGATAATGCAGCAGGAATTTACCATTATCAGGGAGAAATACACGAGGTTACACACTGTGTTATCGTGTTTCTTGCCTCCAACCAAAATGATGTCAGCTGAAACTCACCTATATGAGTCTGGAAATCGTTTGACACAAATCGAAATCACGATTAAAAATTCGATTAAAGACGCAGACTTAATCCTGAGTCTGAAGATGCTCGACGCACGTCCACAGATGAACGTGTGAGGTGATGGGACGTGTTGAACTGAGCTCCTGGTCTGAGAAGAACGAACCTCGACTCCTGGTGCACGATCTGAGTCCTGACTCGACCTGAGCATGAATCACCATCACCTTAAAAGAGGATTTTACTGAATAAACGTGAGCGTCTTCAGGACGATTTGTAAAACGACACAAACAGAAACATAAACAAAGCTCCACGTTTGTTCTGGAACTTTCACATTTGATTTTATTTTCATATTGAAGCTGATTTTCTGACTCGATCCATCAGTGATGCGGAGAGAAGGTCCTCCTGTCCCGGGAGCAGCAGGTCCCCGTGTGGTGTCCAGAGGGACGAGGGGGACGCTCCAGCTGGGATTAGTTTGGGAATTTAACCTTTTAACTTTTTGGTTTCAGGGCCTCGGAAACAAACAAACAAACAAAAAAACTCTTACAAATGTGAAGTTTGACTGTGTGACTTGTCCCGTGGAGGGTCTGTCACCTGCTTGTCTCCGTGGAAATGTGTCTAGAATGTTCCACAGTGTGACCATGAACGTAAGAATCTCCATGGAGACTCACCAGCCAAATGACAGGTCAGATCTGTGGAGAGGCGACGCTGCTCACCGTGAAGAATTAAACAAACGTAAAGACGCAGTGAGTCTGAGGAATAAATAAAACCTCAAGTTGAATAAATCCAAGACAGAGGAGTTTAATGCCACACTCTGGATTATTTCAACCAACGCGTTACCATCTCCACGGAGACGAACACAGTGTGGACCTTCTCCAGAAAAGTTACACAGTGCAGCTTTAAATTGCACCGAGTCTCATGAATAAATCTAAACCGTGAGCGTGTTTTTTTTTTTTTTCCTGATTCTGACGGAGCAGATTTTCAAATGTTTTTACGCTGTTTTTAATATTTTGTGTTTTATTTTCAGGCAAACCCATTTTCTCCGTGGACATTCACCCCGATGGGACCAAGTTTGCCACAGGAGGACAAGGTGACACACGAAAAGAGTCAAATATAAAGAGATTTAAATGTCCCGTATCAGACTCTTCTCTGTTCTGATGTGGTTTCCTGGAGTCGTGTTTTGTTTCATTCACATGTTTTACTCACAAACCTGAACATTTAGAGTCCTGAGTTCTTCTCTCAAACAGAAAACACCCTGTTCCACCTTGTGATGTCATCATGTGGTGACTCAGAAAATGCTCCACTGTGTGTTTAAACTCCACACACCTTCACTAGAATCATCTGGATCATTTCAGTCCTGGAGTTGTTGATCTCAACTCAACTAAAGGGAAAAGGAAACAACCACTTGATGACATCACAAGGTGGAACAGAGTGTTGGAGTTTTGTAGATGTAACAGACTCAGAAAAAAGAAGCAAGTCCAGCTCTGAGTGTGACCAGGAACATTAGAACATTAGAGTTAAAATTCAGAGGAGTCAGTTTTGAGCTTTACTCCTAAAATATATATAATTAATGAACTGAATGGTCGAGGTCCGACGGAGGTCGCGGTCGGACCTCGACGGAGGCGTCTGTGTGAGTCTGAGGTTTGTTTGGTTCCAGGGGAGGATTCTGGGAAGGTGATGATCTGGAACATGGCTCCTGTCCTCAGAGAAGAAGACGAGAAGAATGAGAGCGTCCCCAAGATGCTCTGCCAGATGGACAACCACCTGGGTGAGGCACACGGGGAGGGCATCTGACACAATCTGACACACGGGGAGGGCATCTGACACAATCTGACACACGGGGAGGGCATCTGACACACGAGGAGGGCATCTGACACACGGGGAGGGCATCTGACACACGAGGAGGGCATCTGACACACGAGGAGGGCATCTGACACACGGGAGGGCATCTGACACACGGGGAGGGCATCTGACACACGGGGAGGGCATCTGACACACGGGGAGGGCATCTGACACACGGGGAGGGCATCTGACACATTAGGATGGGAGGGTGAACGGGAGGGAGTGACTCGGTTGTGTGACTCGGTTGTGTGACTCGGTTGTGTGACTCGGTTGTGTGACTCGGGCGTGTGACTCGGGTCGTGTTTGTGTTGCAGCCTGTGTGAACTGTGTGCGCTGGTCGAATAACGGGCTGTACCTGGCGTCTGGAGGAGACGACAAACTCGTGATGGTCTGGAAGAGAGCGGCGTGAGTCTGCAACACACACACGGAACACACACACACACACGGACACACACACAGACCGAAATGCGCACACACGTTTATCACCAGGATTCTACCGGAAATACTCAAGACGGTGTTTATATCTCACACTGATGATAATCTGTGTGTGTGTGTGTGTGTCTCTCTCTGTGTTTGTGTGTCTCTGTGTTTGTGTGTGTTTGTGTGTCTCTGTGTGTGTTTGTGTGTCTCTGTGTTTGTGTGTGTCTCTGTGTGTGTGTTTGTGTGTGTGTTTGTGTGTCTCTGTGTGTGTTTGTGTGTCTCTGTGTTTGTGTGTGTCTCTGTGTTTGTGTGTGTCTCTGTGTGTGTTTGTGTGTCTCTGTGTTTGTGTGTGTCTCTGTGTGTGTGTGTGTGTGTGTCTCTCTGTGTTTGTGTTTGTGTGTCTCTGTGTTTGTGTGTGTCTCTGTGTGTGTGTGTCTCTGTGTTTGTGTGTGTCTCTGTGTGTGTGTGTGTTTGTGTTGACAGGTTCATTGGGCCCAGCACAGTTTTCGGCTCCAGCTCCAAACTGGCAAATGTGGAACAGTGGAGATGTGTGACCATCCTCCGCAACCATACAGGAGGTACACACACACACACACACCTGTACACACACCTGTACACACACCTGTACACACACACACACACACACCTGTACACACACACGCACCTGTACACACACACGCACCTGTACACACACACGCACCTGTACACACACACCTGTACACACACACACACCTGTACACACACCTGTACGTACACACGCACCTGTACGTACACACGCACCTGTACGTACACATGTACACACACACCTGTACGTACACGCACCTGTACACACACATGTGTAATATTCGTGGAGCAGAGGAGCTGCACTGCGGCGCTGGGACTTTTATATTTGTGTAAATAAAACTGGGGACGTCCTGACGTGATGACGTCATTATTATTCTAACGGGGAACACGAGAAGAACCGCCCAAGGAACCTTCACTCGAAAAGCTCGGCTCCAAACTCGTCTCAGACATGACGGACTCGGACCTGTCTCATGAGCCTATGCACATGTTATATCTCTACTCGTCCTCAGATGTGATGGACGTGGCCTGGTCTCCTCATGACGTGTGGTTGGCCTCCTGCAGCGTCGACAACACCATCGTCATCTGGAACGCACGAAAGTTCCCAGGTACGGCTTTAAATTCTTCTGACCTGTGTGAGTGTGTGTGCGTGTGTGTTAGGGAGCGCTGTCTGTGTGTGTGTGTTAGGGAGCGCTGTGTGTGCGTG